CTATGAAAGGGCCCCCTGCAAGTTGTTTTTACCAGATATCATCATTGTTCATATTTAATGCATAACTTGTGCTGGGGGGGTGCAGCTGTTACCTCTTAAGTTGAATACACATGGATGTTAGGCTCAGAAGCAATTCAACTGCAGCATTCTTTCACGGAAAATGGCTTGAATTTTAAATGCTTTAGTTTGCATTCCAATTGATTTGAATAAGCAATAGAAGCAATTGTTGCAAAATAATAGGGAAAAAAGTGCAATGCATGGCAAAAGCAGTAATGAACACAAGTTAAAACTGACCTCCAGTCAAATTTTAAAATGAAATGTTGAAATGCATACAGGGAGTGTGTCAAATCTTCACGGTGCATAAAGTGACCCAGTTTTTTTTAAGTATATGCAATATGTGTTTACATATTGTGAAAAAGCAGTAGTAGCACTTTAAAAAAAAACACCCTCATATACCTCTGTAGCTGTAAGCATTGTGGAGAAATGCATCCTTAAAGGATAAGTTCACCTTTGGAACATGTTACATGTTCCACCTGTTTTTAGGGTGGAACATGTAACACGTTCCCTTAGCTGCAGCCGCGCCTGCCGCACCCCCTCCCTCTGACAGTACGGAAACTTCTCCCCATATTATCTGTCAGATTTGAAATCAGCGTGGCTGTGCTAGGTTCCGCCCACACGGCCACATCACTCACTCATTCATAGAGTTCTGTGAATGAGTACCTGCAAGTCCCAGCAACCTTAGCGGCTGTCGACTTGCAGTTTTTATTGAACCACAGCACTGTGGTAGTTCATTTAAGCTTCCTGTCAGAATATCTGCTTGACCGTACATCTCGTACGGCTAGCAGATTTTATGAGAGGTCTGCAGGAGCCCTGCATGGTATCAGTAATCTACTGATCGCTGGTGCAATGCTTTCCAGGCTCCTTTGGAAAAAAATAAGAAATGCACATTTTTTTTTTACCTGCATTATTTTTGTCCAAAAGGTGAACTTATCCTTTAAAGCAGGGGTCTCCAAACTTTCTAAACAAAGGGCCAGTTTACTGTCCTTCAGACTTTAGGGGGGCCAGACTGTGGCCATTGGGAACAGAAATTGTCCTGCCATCAGTGGGAGTAAACATTGCCTCTTTGGCATTAGGGGGAGGAATAATGCCCCAACGTTGGGGCATGTAGGAGGAATAGTGCCCCATTGTTGGTGTCAGTGGGAGGAACAGTGCCCCATCATTGGTGCCAGTGGGAGGAATAATTCCCCATCATTGGTGCAGTGGGAGGAATAATTCCCCATCATTGGTGTCAGTGGGAGGAATAGTGCTCTTTTGTTGATGTCAGTAACAGGAATTATGCCCCATTGTTGGTGTCTGTCAGAGGAAAAGTGTCCAAAAGGCCAGATAAAGGCAAGCAAAGGTCTGCACTGGCCTTCGGGCCACAATTTGGAGACCACTGCTTTATAGTATACAATAGCGGCAGTGAAATCTCAATTTTCTGTGGAGAGCAGGGACATGACAAACTACCATCTTTCCAATGTAAACAAACAGCAGTTGCTGGTAGGGTGTTGGAAACTGAAATCAGGCTTTAGAGTCTACGTGATGTCATCTTCACAGTAGATACAGCTGCACAGGTCAAAGAGGGCTGGTTTTAAAGTTTTAAAAGTTATTTAAAGTGGAACTTCACTCTCTGAATCAACATGGACTATTTTTAATCCTTATGCTGTTAGCAGTAGTAAATGGAAAGGAAAGTATATCATATTTACATGTTTTAAACTTTTTTTTGTACATTTCTTCAATTACATCCTGGTTTCCATGCATAGACACAGGGGGGTTTATTAACTAAAGCTGGAGAGTGCAAAATCAGACTCCCTTCTGCATAGAAACCAATCAGCTTCTAACCTCAGCTTGTTCAATGAAGCTTTGGCAATGAAACCTGGAAGCTGATTGGTTTCTATGCAGAAGGGAGTCTGATTTTGGACTCTCCAGCTTTAGTAAATAAACCCCTTGATGTCACACATCCCAGGAGTCTTCAGGAGCAGTGTTCTCAGCTCAGCCAATGACTGAGCTAGGGGCAGATGGATTTCAGGAAGTAAATGCTACATAAAAATCATCTGCCCTTACTCAAGATGGCCACTGCCAGAAATGCCAGGATGTGTTTTTCAAAATGATTTCTCAGCAAAATAAAGCATGGAGACATGAATGGATAGGGGAGTTTGCTCTACATATTAACAATGAATTAAATAGAATTTTTGGTTTGGGGTGCTCAGATTCAGTGCAGTTCCACTTTAACGGCTTGTTAGGAATATCTAAAAACTTTACTTCCATAGTCAGATCACTGGTGCACTTTCAATTTTTAAACTAAACTCACTGATTGATTTAATTTTTTGCCAGGGTCTGTACCTTGAAGAGAAACTGTCAAAAAAGAAAGAAATAGTAAACAATTGCATACAGTTTTGGCAACAAAGTGCCCCATGCCTTTATATTGTGCAGTTGTTATTTTTTCCATCATAATGATAACCCAATAAAAAGGTGTGTAGGATGCAGTGGCATTATGACACTATGGTCTTCAGTTTGACAGTCGAGTTCCAGATCTGTGTTGTAGAAGTGCTTACAGTGGCTTATATGTGATTGAAGAGTATAACAACTATTACATTCATTCATAAATACAGCGTGACAGAGGACGCAGCATGCTTTATAGGAAAACAGAATTTTAAAAGTTATCCCAGAACAACTTTCAGATGATCGAAAGACAAAAGAATACCATAAGTTATCTGTCTGAATGTATCTTTTTTGGCTATGGTAAATGATCTCAGGGGACTCATTATTTTTGATAGAAGCAACTGTGTCTTAAAGTGCTTTCGTCATATATATGTGCTCATGTGTCAATTTTGTTTACATTTTTGTAGGCGATATCAAAAGTTGCAGAAGATAATGAAACCCTGGTAAGAATGTGCCTGGATCACGATTTACATTAATTGTGCATGCCGAATGCAGCTTTCTGTTGTCGCAGCTTGGGGAAGATGGATTTGCTGTGTGATCATTTAGTTGCGTAAGATCTGCTGGGAATTAGGTTTGGTCTCTCTCTTTGCGCTAACGTTAATTGACATTTTGCTTTTCTTTTCTTTTCTTCATTTTAATTGCAGTCACCATCTATCCTTTGCGGCTTTTTTGTTTTTGGAATTAATACAGCTTTAAAGTGACTTTGTCTTGAAAAAAGTATGGTAACTTACATTACTAGATAGAGAGAAAACAGGTGGCGCACACACCTAGTGCATTATCCAAGGTTTATTGTAGGAGTGAAAGAATAATAAAAACATACTCACAGACGAAGCATGTATCTAAAAAGCATAGAAAAATGACAATGGCCACAACGGCAGGCAATGTGTTCTCACTGTCAGTGCGGTCAAATGTCTGACGCATTTCGGGGACGAATCCCTTTCCTCAGAGCTGATGACCAACCTCTGATGCTGATGTATGATGAATGGAAAGTAAGAGCCTTGCTGTTGATGCTGACCGCTGTTGTTACTGACCGCTTCTAAAATACATCTAATTGTGTGCGCTTGAGTCGATGCTTTTGAGTCACAGACCCAGAAGTTATATGCTGTTAATGAGTTTAAAAAAGTACCAGACTTCCCTAAGTCAGTGACTCGGGAATCATTGAAGCCAATGCATCCGTATGACAGCCAAGCAACTAGGCAACTAGCAATTTAAGGAGGAATGGTGAGCATTGGCCACCTTTATGATTCTTTCAAGACTGGTTTCTTTTAAAGTACTCCATCCAGGGCTTTTATCCTCAGAATAAAGGTGCAGGAACTCAATTACGAACCTACCCCCCCCCCCCCCACCACACACACACACACACACAAACACACTCAAAACTGCATCAAATGGTGGGTGTGGTTACATTTCACAAGAGTGGGAGGTTCTTAAAGGGGCATTAAATATCAGGAATGCATTATGTTGGGAGTGCAGAGTGTGGAGGTGTGCTACGTACACGTTGCAGAGTTCAGGGGTGTGCTGCATACAGAGTGCAGAGTTCAGCCTTCTCCCACAGCTGCTTACCTCTGCATCCCCCAACCACATCTCATTTTCACCCCTCTTTGGCTCTGTTCTCTGTAAGCAACCCCCCTTCACTGCCCCCTTCTCCCCCTCCTTAAAAGCTCCACCATCTTTCACATGTCTCACTTTTGTTGCTGTATTGAACTGTAGCACCCGGACAGCTCAAGTACCTCCCGGCACACAGTAGGTGGCTCAGACTCTCTCACTTGCAAGATCATCCGGTGGGAGTATCAGCATCCGCAATGTTCCCCGGGCATCTGCATCTCCCTTGTCCTCATCCTGCAATCAGGAGATCTCTGGGGGTCATTGGGAGACAACATTTCACTTGCAAACACCAAAGCCAGACTTCTGTGTTTTCAAGTGATAGTGGGAAACAGGGAGGAGAGGGCCTGAGCCAGAGGTGGTGGAAACTGAATTCCACCAAGTTCCAGCTGAAGAAAAACCCTGCCTCCAACCATCCTACAAACAAATATGCTGTAAGATGGAAGGTAGAGGGGATTAGTAGTCACACTTTGTCAGTGATAAAGGTGTAAGAAAACTTTGAGAAGGTGGGATTGAGCTCTGCACCTCTCATACTAACCCTTGGATTCTTCAGTTTTAGGTGTTGCTTGGCAGCTGTAAAATATTAATTTGCGAATGAGTTCAATATTGTCTTAAGTTATATTTTCTTATTAACCACCTTCCGTTGTATATAAATGGCCGGACGGTGGCAGTGCAGGGTCGGGTGGCCGTTTATAAAAACGGCCTCCCCGCCCCCTGCTTGTGCGTACTCTCTGGGAGAGCGCAGCACCGTGATCCGGTGCCTACTGTGTCCTCCTGGACACAGTGGAACAATGATCGTCATACGGGACCTCTGTGTGAGGTCCCAATCATGTGATCACTGATTGGCCAATCAGTGATCACATGCAGAGTAGTAAGCAAGATGTCACTTCTGACATCATTGCTTACTACGTGTGAAATCTGTGAATGATCACAGAGGTCAATGGTACAAGGCTATTCACCACAGCCTTGTACCATGTGACAAGCTGTGACCAATCACAGCTCACAACAGAAGTTCTCAATGACTGCAAGAATGCAGCCAGAGAGAAGGAGAAATTATTGCTTTTACAGCCTTTATGGGTATAAAAGCAATCAGTGTAAAAGAAAAAAAAAAATCTGTACTTCTAGGGTGACAGTACAGTTGTGACCAAATTATTCAACCCCCACTGAAATTGAGTGTTTTGGCCAGTTTGACATTGCTTTTGATCATTCAGTCATCTTGCTTACATTTACATTAAAGAGGCACTTGTAGGTCAGACAAATATAACATAACAGTTATAATGAAATATACCACAAATGTCTTTTCTGTGCTCACAGCATTATCAGTTTTTATTCAACCCCCAAGTGACATTCAATCTTAGTACTTAGTACAGCATCCTTTTTACAGTTATAACAGCTTTTAAACGTGAAGCATAGCTTGACACAAGTGTCTTGCAGCGATCTACGGGTATCTTCGCCCATTCTTCATGGGCAAAGGCCTCCAGTTCAGTCACATTCTTAGGGCTTGCGCACTGCAACTGCTTTCTTTAAGTCCCACCAGGTTCTCAATCGGATTTAAGTCTGGTGACTGCGATGGCCACTCCAAAATGTTCCAGCCTTTCCTCTGCAACCATGCTCTAGTGGACTTGGAGGTATGCTTGGGATCATTGTCCTGTTGAAAGGTCCAACGTCTCCCAAGCCTCAGGTGTGTGACGGACTGCATCACGTTTCCATCCAATATCTCCTGGTACTGAAGAGAATTCATGGTACCTTGCACACGCTGAAGCTTCCCCCTGTACCTGCAGAAGCAAAACAGCCCCAAAGCATGATTGACCCTCCACCATGCTTCACAGTAGGCAAGGTGTTCTTTTCATCATAGGCCTTGTTCTTTCCTCCTCCAAACATAGCGTTGATCCATGGGCCCAAACAGTTCTAATTTTGTTTCATCAGTCCACAGAACACTATCCCACAACTTTTGTGGTTTGTCCACATGGCTTTTGGCATACTGCAGTCGACTCTTCTTATTCTTTGGAGACAGCAAGGGGGTACGCCTGGGAGTTCTGGCACGGAGGCCTTCATTACGCAGTGTGCTCTTATTGTCTGGGCTGAAACTTCTGTACCCACATCTGACAAATCTTTTCTCAGTTCCTCAGCAGTCACACGGGGACTTCTCTCCACTCTACGCTTCAGGTAGCGCACAGCAGTCGAAGTCAGCATCTTCTTTCTGCCACGACCAGGTAGCGTTTCAACAGTGCCCTTTGCCTTGAATTTGCGAATGATGCTTCCTAAGGTGTCTCTTGGTATGTTTAACATCTTTTGCAATCTTCTTATAGCCATTGCCCTTCCTGTGAAGAGAAATCACCTCTTCTCTTGTCTTCCTGGACCATTCTCTTGCCTTTCACCATGTTTGTAACCACACCAGTAAATGTCTAGAAGGAGCTGAGTATCACAGTCATTTTAAAGCTGCCTAATTGGTGCTTATTATGCTTGATTGCTGCTCGGTGACATCCACAGGTGTTTTCAATACCTGATGGAAAGCACCTGTATGAACCTCTGTTCTTCAGAGTGGTAGTCTTTAAGGGGTTGAATAATTGTGGCAATGAAGAAACCACATAAGAACCATTTACTACTGTATTACATAAACAATTGATGTCATTTTAGTTGCATTTGGGTAGTTACAACGTCCTTGTAGGATTTGATTCTGAATACAATTCCAAATGTACACTATAGTCCCTAAACCCCTTTACAGCATTGGGGGTTGAATAATTTTGGTCACAACTGTATGTAAAAACATAAATAATAATATAATAAAATAAAAATGTTTAAAAAGTATAATTTTTGTTATAAACTAATTTGGGTTATTTTTTTTTGCTTTACTAAAAAGATAACGGAATAGATTTTGCAAAATTTTGTAAGAAAAACACTTTTTTCAAAATTTTTGGACATTTTTCATTTACATAGCAAAAAAAATAAAAATCCCAGTGATGAATAAATACCACCAAAATAAAGCTTTATCTGTCTCAAAAAAATGCTAAAAGGTTAATATGGGTACAGTGTTGCATGACCGCACAATTGTCAAAGTATGATAGTACTGAAAGCTGAAAATTGGCCTGGACAGGAAGGGGGTAAAAGTGTCCGGACATGAAGTGGTTAAAGAGTGAAAGAACAAGCTGGAGATTTAGAACTATACATTTAGCTTACAAGTTTCATTTCATTACTTTGAAGCACTATGTCTTTTCTAAGAATGGCAGTTCTACCTATGACCACTAACCCAGCCAGGGGCCAGTCTTTTTACAATGTAATGGGTGGCATCACATAGGACTATGGGACCCTAGAAAGCTTGTTACTGCACTGGGTGCACAGGCACAGGAACCATGTTTTCTATGTAAACAAATAACGATTTATATTCTATATATTCTAAACTCTGTTTGGAGCAATATGTAAAAAAAGAACTTCTGTGTCATTCATTTAAAAGTTTTGTTAGAATGTTCTTCCCCCTGTGCTTGCCAGTTGTAAATATCTAGTATCCTAAATTACAGTCCTCCTAAAATATTATTGTGCATGTTTTAGGTGCTAATACTTTCTAACCACTTGGCTTTATATTTGTATTTAAGGATTACTTTAAAAAATCCTTACTGTTATAATCTTTTTTTTTTTTTTTTTTTTTTTTTTTGCAGTTTAAAAGGTACTTATTGGTAACTCTTAGAGCTGCAGGACTAGTTATGCAAAAATACTTTAAATGCTGTTGTAATGAAGGACATCTGCAGCACAAAATACCAATACATTGTACAATCTGGCAAGCTTTGTTGCATGTCCCAGTTGTCTGTTTAAAGTGCATATGTTCTTTAGAATGCATAATAAAAACATAGGAGTAGTGCAGGTGGGACCCATATCAACCAATCAGATTCCAGCTGTCCTTTTTCTTGTGTGGCCTGAGACCTAGTCCTTATTTTATTTAAAACCCATGTGCAATGGGCAGAGGTTATATGGTTATAGGTTGAATTGCAATATTTTAATTTAGAAGTAGTTAAGAAAAATGCATCACAGCCAAGGTTTGATGTTAGACACGCATGCCAGATCTGTCAGACTGTGAAAACTAGTGGAAGACGATGAAAAATATTCCATAATCAAATCTACAAACAACTGTTTTTTTTTACACCTAGTGTTGCATTTAGACATAACCCTGCCCTTCATACACATCAATGGTGATATCCTTTTATCATCAATAACATTATGTGGTTGCATTTGTGAAATCAAAATTCATTGTTGGAGACAACATGACATAGGCGTTCTCCACTGTGCTACAGGTAGCCAGTAGGCTCTAATAAGAGCTGTCAGAGTAAAGAAGAGATGGTTCCTTTTTCTTTGAGCTATAGACAGACTTGTCATTACTCCTGAGCCTGAAAATCCCACTTTTATCAAAATGGCAACATGGAATGACCTGCACTTGACATCATGGTCACATGCAGGCGGCTGCTAGCATCTTTTTAATGTGGCTTCAAGCAATATCTCACTACATATAGGGAAAGGAAATGGCACTTCAGCAGCTGTAGAGAACTTGAAGCATGATGGGAAATTGTGATAAACACATGTTGATAAAAGCTAGTGATCTACACATGAAGCTCTTGTGTTCTTGGTGTTGGTGTAGAAGTTAACCACTTCCCGTCCAGCCCATGTACATAAACGGCCAGACAGGAGCAGTGCAGGGACGGGTGGCCGTTTATAAACCCTGGGAGCACACAGCACCGCGATCCAGTGCCCGCTGTGTCCTCCGGACATAATGGAACACCACTCGTTGTACGGGACCTCTGTGTGAGGTCCCGATCATGTGATCACTGATTGTCCAATCAGTGATCACATGAAGAGTAGTAAGCAAGATGTCACTTCTGACATCATTGCTTACTACGTGTGAAATCTGTGAATGATCACAGAGGTCACATGGTACAAGGCTATTCACAACAGCCTTGTACCATGTGGCAAGCTGTGACCAATCACAGCTCACTCAGTATTTCTCAATGGAGAAATACTGTGTGAGCGAAGAGGGAGAAATGACTGCTTTTACAGCCTTTATGGGTGTAAAAGCAATCAGTGTAAAAAAAAAAAAAAACAAATCTTCATAACCCCCCACAATTAGTACAGTGTCACTATGGTGACACTGTACTGCTCAGGTGACAGTATGTAAAAAAAAAAAAAAATAATATAAAAAAAAATTATAATTTTTGGTTATAAAACTAATTTGGGTTATATTTTTTTTTTTTGCTAAAAAGATAACTGAATAAATTTTGGCCAAGATTATTTATTCGCAAAGTTTTCTAAGAAAAACACTTTTTTTGGACTTTTTCATTTATATACCAATGAAAAATAAAAATCCCAGTGGTGAATAAATACCACCAAAATAAAGTTTTATCTGTCTCAAAAAAATGCTAAAACATTCATATGGGTACAGTGTTGCATGACCGCACAATTGTTATTCAAAGTTTGATAGCGCTGAAAGCTGAAAATTGGCCTGGACAGGAAGGGGGTGAAAGTGTCCGGAAGTAAAGTGGTTAAAAGGGCAGACTCAACTGGTAGTGGCAGTGATAAAACATGCGCGAGCCAGGGACACCCAGGGACAATCCATGCAGGTTTGTCCTGCACTTTATATTCAGCAAGGTGGTAAACAAGCATAGCATCAATGAGGTAGGGCCTTGTACAGCAACTCCACAAAGCATAAAACAATTATAACATCTGCCCGTATGAGCCGCTAACTAAACTTCGCTCAGTTCCTTGCTCAATAATGGGTTTCCCAAAACAAATTGGCAGCACTGGTACTGTTCTAGTGTTCTGGCAGCCCTCAGCTTTTCACCAAGCAGGTTTCCACAGCAGAAGGAGCTAGAAAAAGAGCCCTGAGCATTAGGTTACATATTAAAACTAACCTGTTGCAACCCCTTAACTGGTTCTTAAAAAAGGGAAAGTGGGACAGACATTCCTGATCACATGAACATTGTGATTGGCTGTCACGGTAGTCACATGATTGGGGCCTGTTCTACCAGCTCCTGATCATAACCAGGAGTTTTCAATGACAGCTTGGTAACAGTGCTGGGACCAGGCAACAGGCACACTTTCAGCACAGAAACCTCCAGCATGGATGTATATGTTCAGCATGTGGGTGTTAAAGCCCATCCTCCTTGCTATCCAAATGTTGACAAAAGTTCTGGCTACCAGAAGATTTGGACCTAGGAATGAGGGCTTTTTCTACCTAAAGCTCTACCAATGTTCTGAATTTCAACCCCAAAAATAAAGATCCCTCCCCCATAGCAGATACAATTTTTGGAGAATCCTAGGTGATGCATATACAATGTCCACAATCCAGTGCGTCACACTGTTTACATTTAAAAAAAAAAGGCAGTTACTGTTAACTACTGATAAGGGATGGTTAACTGTAAATCTGAATGTAGCAGCACAGTGTGACATTCCCAAAAAACAAAAATCATTAAAGTGGTTCTAAAGGCAGAAGGTTATTTTACATTAATGCATTCTGTGCATTAAGGTGAAAAACCTTCTGTGACCCATTGGCTCCTGCTGTTGTCAATCAAAGCCAGTGAGGAGGGATCTGGGTGCAGGGCTGAGCCCCATTCTGTGTGTCTTATGGTTGCACAGAGTGGGCTTGGGAGCAAGCATGCCTGAGTGCCCCCATAGCAAGTGGCTTGCCATGGGAGCAATTGCGGGGGGGAAGGACCAGGAGTGCTGGAGGGGGACCCAAGAAGAGGAGGATTGGGGCTGCTGTATGCAAAGCCATTGGACATAGCAGGTAAATATGACTTTTTTTAATTTGTTTTTTTTTTATTTTTTTATTATAATCATCCTTTAGAATCAGAATGAGCCTAAGGTTGCCATCCACACAGCAATCTGAAAATACAAGCAAACTACAGGAATCTCTAGTACATACAAACCCAACTTTCTTAGAGAAACTATTAAATGTGTACTTACAGCCCTGGAAAAAAGTTTTGAGAATGACACAAATATTATTATACCTGCAAGGAAACACGTGCAGTCATCATTGCTTAGCTTTGGATTCACAGACAAGTATATTGCTGCTACTAGGGTTGCACCTAAATCAACCATTTATTGGATCATCAAGAACTCCAGAGGTTCAAGTGTTGTGAAGAAGGCTTCAGGGCACCCAAGAAAGTCCAGTAAGTGCCAGGACCGTCTCCTAAAGTTGATTTAGCTGCAGGATCATGGCACCGCCAGTGCAGAACTTGCTCAGGAATAGCAGCAGGCAGGTGTGAGATGAAGACTATCAGAGGTTGGCCTGGTGTCAAGAAGGGCACCAAAGAAGCCACTTCTATCCAGGAAAAACATCAGAGACAGACTGATAATCTGCAAAAGGTATACGGATTACACTGCTGAGGACTGGGGTAAAGTAATTTTCTCTGATCACCTTTCTGATTGTTTGGGGCATCCGGGAAAAAAAAAAAATCCAGAGAAGAAAAGGTGAGCGCTACCGTCAGTCCTGTGTCATGCCAACAGTAAAGCATCCTGAGACCATTCCTGTGTGGGGTTGCTTCTCAGCCAAGGGAGTGGGCTTACTCACAATTTTGCCTAAGAACACAGCCATGAATAAAGAATGGTCCAAACACATCCTCTGAGAGCAACTTCTCCCCAACCATCCAAGAACAGTGTGGTGTCGAACAATGCCTTTTCCAGCATGATGGAGCACCTTCCCGTAAGGCAAAAGTGATAACTAAGTGGCTTGGGGAACAAAACATCAAAATTTTGGATCCATGGCCAGAAAAATCCCATAACCTTAATCACAATGAGAACTTGTGGTCAATCTTGAAGAGGCGGGTATACAAACGCCCCCCCCCCCCCCCCCCCAAAAAAAATTCTGACGAACTCCAAGCATTGATTATGCATGAATGGGGTGCCATCAGTCAGGATGTGGCCCAGAAGTTGATTGACAGCATACCAGGGCAAATTGCAGAGGTCTTGATAAAGAAGGGTCAACACAAATATTGACTTTTTGCATAAATGTAATGTAATTGACAATAAAAACCTTTGACACTTAACTGAAATTCTTGTAATTATACTTCAGTATACCATAGTAACATCTGACAAAAAACATCTAAAAACACTAAAGCATCGGACTTTGTTGAAATTATTATTTGTGTCATTCTGAAAACTTTTGGCCAGGGCTGTGCAATCTGTTGATACTAAAGAATTGACTGAGGAAACACAAATCTTATTGGAGGTAAAACACTGTTCTCTCCTTACATCTGCATATACAGTATACATCGTGAACTAGCTTTTTAGTGCCACCTTGTGTCAGAATGAATGAACCATCTACTTACTTTTCACCAACATATTCAACTTATTTATTATTTATTACAGGCACTTTTATAGCGCCATCAATTTACACAGCGCTTTACATATATATTGTACATCCACATGAGTCCCCGTCCCCCCTCAAAGAGCTTACAATCTAAGGTCCCTAACTCGCATACTAGGCCCGATTTTCAAAAGGAGCCAATTAACCTATCAGCATGTCTTCAGAGTATGGGAGGAAACTGGAGTACCTGGAGGAAACCCACACAGGCACAGAGAGAAACATGCAAACTACAGGCAGGGAGTGCCGTGGTTGGGATTCGATCCAATGACCCTAGTGCTGCTAGGAGAAAGTGCTAATCACTTAGCCACTGTGCTGCCCAACAAAAGATTAAATTATGTAGAGTGCAAAGCTGGGAAGATGGTGGCTACTTAACTACTCTTTAGTTCATGTTTACTGGTAGCTTGCTACAATTTTTCAACCTGATTTCAGATTATTTCTGGGAACAAGATTGTATGGATTATACACTTTACACTTTCTCTCCTTACCTATTCCATAAGTGTCCTATTTAGTTTTGTGTTGTCCATCAGTGACACTGACACCAGCATGCAGACTGTAGATTCTATGCACACTATCATTGTTCCTTTTCTTCTTCTCCATTACATCGATTTATTTCAATTATGTTACTGTCTGTTTTCTGCTGAAATGTCTATGACAGCAGAGAACTGCTTTTACCTTGGCTTCTCCTGGAATCTTTTTGTGTTTAAACTTTTTGTAGTTATATTACTTTTTCTAGCTTATATTTTTTTTTTGGAGGACTGCAGCATATTCTGCTTTTTCATAACACCATCTCAGTTGTCTTGTGAATACATGCCCTTGAGAATTTTGCATTATTCATTTTTTTACAGCTTTGGAGAAATGCTTTCTTACACTTTGACAGCATTTGTTGAGCTGATGGATCATGGAATTGTATCATGGGATACTTTCTCAGTGGCATTTATTAAAAAAGTAAGTATATATAGTAGGTTTACTACATCTTTTTCTATACTAACAAAACAAAAAAAAATGGAATATGCACCAAATGATGGTCAAATTTTCAACTTGGACATCCATGACATACAATATTCATTGTCATGATGAAGTGAATGTGCGGGTAAAACACAAAAAGAAACTGCATGCAGTACATCCCTGCAATACATGCACCTTTTAACATGTTTTACCCTTTAAAAACACTGCAAGTACAGACAATCCTCTGATGATCCTGCCAGAAATTGACTCTTAATTTCAAGTAGTGAGCTAAAACACTGTCTCTGCTACACCTGCTAAACGAATTCCCAAACAGTGGACTACAGGACACCTCCCTCTTCTCACTCACTGCACTGTGTCTATGGAGCATTGTTATCCTAGGTGGCTCTGGATTTGGACTAAAAACACCTTTACCTCTCCTCTTCTCATCTCTATTACGGTAAATAGGTGCCACATTGTAGTTGTACATAGAAGATTGGTTAGCTGATAATATTGATTTTGTTTGAGATTGTAGTTACAACAGAACGTTACAAGGGCACAAGGTTTCTGACAGGTTCAACTGGTATTTTTCTCTACTTGTACTAAATTGTAATTAGCCTTAATGTGTATATTACCCCAACATT